GGAACTACATAATTTTTGAAGAAAAAACAGAAGTTGGCAATTAGTTGGAGAGATCAATGCTTTCGAATTGTTTACAGCGTTCTACATCAAACGAATTTATTAGTTTCCTTTCATGTTTAATTGCTCTTGGTTGGGACTTCTACTACGCTAGGAACTGCTTTTTGTATATCACAATCCAATTTTGGCATGTAATCGGCAAATGGTGGCCCTATGACAATGACCAATATGTTGAAATAGAAAAATGATTTCACATGGCTGAATTTGTAAGAATTTGTACATCCGTCATCACACTTGTGCAGTGCATTTTGCCATTAACGTACAATCACCAAAGATAAAATATTCAATCACCATCTCATTACATCGAAGTTTATAGAACATCTTTTGAACCTCGTTTCCCCTTGCGCATTGTTATGATGTTGAGGGAAATTTCAATGTCCTTTTTATCGACTATTTTAGCACACGTTTCCAACATACGCAACAAATCATCAATGGGTTCACTACCATTGGTGATACCACTTGATTGACCTTCATCTTGCCACGGATATGTTACGTCGGGAGGAGATTTATTCCAATAAAAAAATTGACGTCACGGGTACAACAATGGAACAAATGACCTTTGTTATCAGTTTGCTTTTCCACCTCCATCCATTTAACATAGCCTTGGCTACAGTTTGGACATCTTCTCTTTCCAGGGCACTCTGATAACATGTGCCATGGCCATCTACGTGAATGACATATCCCCTTATTCCTTCCGGCCATTGAAGAATTCTAATAGAAAAACGAAAAATAACTACATCACAATAATATCAGAATCAACAATTAAATGTAAATGCAACATCTACACATAATAAGCAAGAAAATATATGAACTACTCAATTCTAAAATTTTGATTGCATAAATTGACAACGTGAATAATGAAAAGGTTGGTGTGAAACTCAAGCGGTATAAACATCTACGAATCATGCTACATATACAACATTGGTTGACAACATCCTATTTGACATCATCATATTCATCCATTTAAAAAAACTATTTTCTACATCACATGCTAGGATTTTGACAACACACGGTTATCAACCGTTGTTGTCAACCAATGTTGTACACTTAGATTTATTCAACATCTACACATAATAAGCAGTCCACACAAACTGAACCAACTATTACGTGACAGATTTGGTAGAATTGATTTCCATACATTCCGCTTAGTTGAAAATTATAAATTTATATGTCAATAATCCAATGGATAGACTTCTACGACATCCTAACACCACATAAATAAAGCATTCCACAAGTACAACAAACCATTAGTTGAAACCAACTTTGTAGGAAACGGAAAAACCAAGTATACGCGCTGAATTTTCAAATATCAAGTAAAGCCCAAATGTTTTTCAGAGATAATACTGGCCGGTGGTGAGTATGGGTGATTTCATCATTGGCGACGAGGCAGACGAAGGAATTAACATTAAGGTGTCTCTTATGCAAGAAATGAAAAGAGACTAGCTACTAAATTGGAGAAAGTAGACGTGTCGGCGAGATTTCTGCACTGGAGGCGAGTCTTTTCTTCACTGGAGGTAGATGTGCCAGCAAGATTTCAAAAGTTGGTGCAGATCGAGAGAGGGTAGTGTGAGTTGAAAGTGGGTAGGGTTTCAAATTCAATCTATGACATGGCAATTTTCATGATACTTTGGATTTGTGATCGTGCCGATATTTTGACTTAAAAAAATGTCACGCCAACATTATGTAACATGTTCGGTAATTTATTGTGTACCAATAGATTTTCCCTTTTCCAAATATACACTCTTTTTTTTCTTATTTTCAATCACACATTCTTTAATAAAATAATATTACACGTAATTCAAAAAATGTCCTTATCTCTTAATCAAACATTTTACAATATAATACTAATAGGGCTCAAACAAGGGCTAAAAACGTAGAAGTTTAAAAATAATTAAAATTATAAATTGATAAAAATGAACAATAAATAAGTGAATATTATTTGTGAATTCTTCGAAATATAAAGATAAAAAGTAACTTGAACGTTAATAAATATGAGCCAAATATAGACATTATTTCACTGGCATATTGTTGCTAAACTACAAATGAGCAAAGAGACAATTAAGGGTGTTTAAGTGCAACTCGACCATCCATACAAGTCAGCTTGCTTCAAGCAATTTGGGCTCAAATCGTCCCATGAGCCGCTTGCAGCTTATGCAACTATAATAATAATAATAATAATAATAATAATAATAATAATCAAAGTGCTTTCCATTTTTTCTTTTTTAAATAATCAACGAAAAGAATGGCGACTAGTTATCGTAAATCAATGGCACATTATCTATTTTTATCAAATGAGAATCATTTTTTGGACGATTATAACCTTACTACAATTCAATTATTTCAATAATACTTTACTTTTTATTTTCCATATTTATTTAATTTACAAATGGTAATAAATACTACAAAATCATTGTTCACATATGTATGCCATGTTATTAATTAGTAATTAATTAAAATTCACATTCGTTTAATTAATATTAATTAGAATTTCGCTTTCGCTTTCGCATTCACATTCACGTCCATGTCACTTTTATTAATTATCAATTAATTAACATTCACATTCACATTCATTTAATTGATATTAATTCAATAATGTAGTTTATCATTCACGTCCATTATGTTAATTAGCGTCCAGTTTCACTTAATTGAAACTTAAATTATATTCGTTTAGCCTTTGTTTGGTAGAAATTAAAATCCAAATTTTAATATAAGTTAAAGTCAACAATTAATTTTAATCACACATTTCATATGACCCACAACTTTTCAACCATACATTTAATCAACTTCTATCAAAATTTACTAAAAATATGATTTTAATAACTAACAAATAGAAGCTTAATATAAATGATTCAACATTCATTATTAAGTATATATTCCTTGATATTAATTATAAATCAATTAACATTCAAGTTAATTCATGTATCGTATAATATTCACATTCAAGTATGCATTTCACTATTTACGTGTATGTATAATAATTAACATTTATTTTCAAGAGCTTGCATTTTTCTTATATTAAGATTAAGCCACTGTTTGGCGCATATTTTTTCTCCAAGAATGCATTTCTTTTTTGATGTGATGTTGAATGTGTGGTTGAAAAAAAGGAAAATTTATTGATGTAATGAAAAATATTATTTTATTGAAGAATGTATAGTTGAAAATGAGTAGAAGAATGATAATGAAAAAATAATGTGGCTCAAACAGGGGCTAAAATGATAAATTGAGGATCAAATATTACGTTCACATCACTTACAAAGTATTTCAAAATAACGTGCAACGTGCATTCAAGTCTAACTAGTCATAACGTGCAACGTACATTCAAATCAAAGTTACTTATGATATGTAAAAGCAATCTTGAATATATTTGAATAATTTGTAAAATTATTGTCTAGTTAGAATAATTTTTAAATAAAATTGACATAAAAGTAACTTAATCATGAAACTCTTATACAAGATGTACCCTAAATTTGTTGAATAACTATCAATCAAGACTTCGCAAAGCATGCTATAACTGCCCATATTTCTTAAATAATACATTAATCAAACTAGATTATCTTATAATTTTAAATTAAGATAATGTCGGTTCACTATCTTTCAATTAATTAAAACACCAATTTTCCACCGATTTCCGGATATTTCATTCCGCCATTATCAGATTAAGCCCATATTTGGCGGGGATTAAAATCAATTTTTTAGTAAATTTTGATAGAAGTTGATGAGAAGTGTGGTTGAAAAATTGTGGGAATCATAAAATATGTTATTAAAATGAATGATTGACTTTTGACTTATATTAGAATTTAGATTTTAATCGGTACCAAACAGTTTATAAATCCTAATGCTACATGAACGGTCCAAATTTTCTTGTTAAAAAAATAATAATAAAAATAAAAATGAGTCACACCAGATTATTCTAATAAAAAATTACGACACGCGTTTGGCCGCTGTCACGTGGGAAAATTTTTGTTCCTGACAAGATTCATCTAGTCAAAGAAGCATTAAATACACATTTGGTCCTCATAGTTTCAGAAAATATCAAGATAGTCCTCCAATTTTGTTTTGTTCCAATTCAATCACCAAGATTTCCTAACTATTTCAACCTTGTCACTTATATTAACATGAAATTAACATGAAATCCTGCTCTTATGCCTCTGTGTACTAGAAAGACTTATAGCCTGTTTGGTAAAACTTTCATTTTCAATCATACATTCTTCAATAAAATAATATTTTCCATCACATCAATAATTTTTTCTTCTTTTTCAACCACACATTTCCCATCATATCACTATTCAAAAATCAATTCTTCCCCCAAAAATCTCTATCAAACACACTATTAGTATGTTATATTAACATGAAATCCTGCTCTTATGCCTCTGTACTAGAAAGACTTAATCACATTGCCACACAAGCAATTACCTTGATAAAAATAAGGATTTGCCTACTTGTACATTATGGATACCATAATAGTATCTATAATGCACAAGTGGCAGCCCCCCATTGGGGGGTTAGCTGGCGCGACCTGCTGTGTCAGCCGACCCCCCAATGAAGAGCTACCACTTGTGCATTATGGATACCATTATGTTGGTATCCATAATGTACAAGTAGCATATCCCTAAAAATAAAATGACAAAATCCCGAATTTTTTTTTTTCATACAGTTAAGGACTAATTTTAAAATTGTCTGGAACTTTAAGGACCAAATGTGAATTTAACCTAGTCAAAGAATCTCTGTCTAGAACTTATTTTTCCTTTTTTTTTTATTTTTTGGAAATCACACCACATTTTCTATATAAACCAGCTCAATTCTCTTCTCCAAAATCTCATCACACATCAAATTCTCTCAACTCCATTTTCTGTTCTCTTAATCCCAAAAAGACCTTCAAAAATCTTCCTTTTTCTTGTAAAGTTTTCACCTTTTTTTAACTGCAACTAGCAAACCAGTACATAATGGCGCCAGAGTTACGTAAATCCGCCGTGAGTAGGTTCACCGGTGGTGGTGGCCTACCTAAGGCCAGCAGCCTGCCAAGCCATGCATACGTAACATTCTTGGCAGGCAATGCTGATTATGTGAAAGGAGTGGTGGGGCTGGCCAAAGGGCTGAGAAAAGTGAACACTGCTTACCCTCTTGTGGTGGCGGTTCTGCCGGATGTGCCGGAGGAGCACCGCCGCATACTGGTGAACCAGGGGTGTATAGTCCGCCAAATTGAGCCGGTTTATCCGCCGGAAAATCATAATACCCAGTTTGCTATGGCTTATTATGTCATCAACTATTCAAAACTTCGAATTTGGGAGGTATGCATTTTCACTAGCTAGTTATTTAAATTCTTGGGATTTTTCTAACCATGGATGAATTTATTTTTGAATGTTGCTCACTTTGTTATCAACCTTCTTTGAATGTTGATCAAAATCCAAGTTATCATTTTCAAGGCGCCTGTTTGACTTGCTTTTAAGCCGACCAAACTTGCACGATCTAGAAAAGAAAGAGAAGTTAATTCATTGTCGAGTAGAAGGCGGTCTAATACTATGCACTAAATATATAAATATTGTATGTTTCATAGTCTAGACAAGACAATACTTATAAAATGATAAAACAAGAAAAAGAAGTTTAAATTTTATTTTTTTTGATAAACTATTGTCTAATACTATGAGTCAAGCGCGCCCTCAAAATCTTTCTTAATTTCTTTACCTCAACTAAATTGAGCCAAGCATGGTGGAACGAAAAAAAGAAGTTAAAATATCGTGGTGGTTCTCGTTCGCAAAACATGTCATCTTAATTTGTTTACAACACTATGTTTATACTAAATTTGTTTTTGTATCATGTATGCAGTTTGTGGAGTATAGCAAGATGATATACTTAGATGGGGACATCCAAGTTTATGACAACATAGACCATCTATTTGATCTACCAGATGGGCAATTTCATGCTGTAATGGACTGTTTCTGTGAGAAAACTTGGAGTCACACTCCACAATACAAGATTGGGTATTGCCAGCAATGTCCAGACAGAGTCAAGTGGAATGAAAAATTGGGCCCTAAGCCCTCTCTTTACTTCAATGCTGGCATGTTTGTTTTTGAGCCAAGTCTACCCACCTATTATGATCTACTGCAAACCCTCAAAATAACCCGTCCGACCTCGTTTGCCGAGCAGGTAATTAGGCAGCTTGGCATGTACGATGAACAAGATTTTTATGTTTTTAATGTTGTGTGGACTATTGAGTCCTTTGTCA